ACGATCAGATTTCGAGACAAACTGACCAAAGATTCACTCTTGGCACACCCCCGAGTAGTCTACATGTTTAAGAATACGATACTCGGTTGGTAGGAAATGGTGCGATTTCATTGATGTATGATCAATGAAATTGCTAGGAATTGACGTTTTTCAAATTTCGAGATTGTAGTAGACAGGATAGGAATCGAAGTTCTTTTTTTTTTTTTTTTTTTTAAACAAAGAAAGCCTACATTTTACAGGATATACAGAGGATATCAAATGTTTTCCCATCGACAACGCCCCGACTTATCAAAATCTACGAGTGTGTTCATTCGGCGATCGGGACAAGCTACATACATATTCAAAATATGTTTGCATTTTACAATATAATCTGTTTATCTGCTCGTGTAGATCTGTATCTACTTCGGAACATGCTAAAATTTTACATTTTCGAGAGAATTTCTACAGAATTTCTATGAATCATATCGTTCCGGGTACGCCGATATCGAAAAGATTACAACTAAATCCAATTTTTACTTTACTCGAATCGATTTAATCTTCCAATACTTTACTCGGTGTGTTTATTTTTGAGAAATTTTACACACGTAATTCCGAATTTTAGCGAAATCTCCGATTTTATAAATAAAAGAAAAAAAAACCATTTCCGAGATTGAGGTGTAGTATTTTTCCGTTGAAAAACGACAACGCAGCAGATTTAGGGTTTACAGGAAACTGACTAAAGTCAATTTTCAGCAATTGGAACGAATAAAAGAATTTCTTTTTTTAATAAAATAATTCGATTTTCAGCCATCGACAAACTTTTCGGTCAAATTTTTGACTGGTTATTGATAATCTCGGCTCTTAAAAATCTGGTCAAGCGAGAAAGTTGTGTGGAATTTATCGCAGCATAAAGAAATTAAAGGAGACAAAACATAAAATTTGACCTAGTAAAGGTCGAAATTTTGTGGATTTTCAGCTACAGTACTCTAACTTGAGCTAAAACCTTTAATTTTAACATATTTTTTTTAAAAAGAAGAAGAAAAAAGACGCTTTCATTAGTCATACTTTTCAAGATGGAGGTGGAAGATGGTGAGTGATTTCACCCCGTATACATCACTACTGCATTTACGTACAGTACACACGATTAAATTCTACATTTTATATAGGGTTTCGGAATGGGGAATGATCCCATCCGCATCATCTCACTAAAACACTATTAAAATGCATTGTCATATAGAATTTTCCGCCTTCTATCTTGATTAAAAATAGGTAAAATTTGAATTGCAAGATCCGAGAACATAATACCAAGCAAGTTATATAAAAGAACTTAAAAAAAAAAGCTTGAAAATTAA